TCCTGTCCCCCAGCCTGCCCCTTCCTCTGAATGGTCAGCATTCAATTTTATGAGGAGGCGAGGGGCCGTGTCTTGGCCCATAGCCCACACAAGCGCTGTTTTGCTGATGGAAAGCTGTTGAATTCTATAATGCTGAAAATCTGTATAAATAGACACATTTACAACTTCCTGTCCATTTGGCCATCGATCATTGTAACAAAGGTACTAATAACTTGCATGTGTAGCAATTCACAGCTTGCACAGGGATTTCACACGTCCTTCAATATCCCTATCTATGCGTAATGAAAATATTTTTTCTGTGGGCATCATTAAATTCAACTCACTTTGCCGAGTTGAACTGAGCTCCAGCCCATGCCCTCAGCTTGTCACGCAGCTGGTCAGGCTGTTTCCCTGAACTCCTCTGCTCTTGGAATGTAAGACTTCAGCATCTCCCACGGCTACACCCTCGCCCTGAGCCCGGCCTCTCCTTCCTCCAACTCCATCTCTACTGTGATCTCTTCTGTGATCTCTACTGTGAGGTAGACGTTAGCTTTGTTTTGATGGAGGTCCTCTGAACACTGTCAGCCAGGATGTTATTCCAAATCCCCGTGATGGTGATTGATAGGTTATTGATCCTTGGGACAGGGCCAAATGACCCTGGTGGTTTTAATGACACGTGTTCCTCCTAGGGCATTAGGAGAGGCCGGGCTGACCAGAAGATGCCAGCAATCTCTGAGCATGCAGGCTGAGGGAAAGGCAGGTTGAGGCTCAACTGCGGGAACTGAGACATTTGGATTAGGATAAAATGTGACCAGGCCTATGTGGCTTTTGACTGTGTGGGTCAGGCTTTCTAAAAGAGTCTTGGAAGCTTGAATCCAAGGTGGCCAGTAGTTGTGACTTGAGGGCCAGCTCCCACCACTTAGTAGAACCTACTTGGAGGACTGTCTTGAGGATTCTAAGGCCAAGTCCAGGCCCCTTGGAGAAGATTCCTATGAGGAGACAGCGATGTCTGCCACAAGTATGGAGAAGGAGTTGTGCAGTCTTTGCCATCGCTGCTTTAGGCTGTCTCTGAAAGGCAGGGAACTACCCAAGGTAAACTCAACTGGGACTATTATCAGAGTCACGAAGAACAAGTATTCTGGCGGCTTCAGCAATTTCATCAAGTGTGAAGCCTGGGGCTTATTTTCTGGTTTGGCTGGCTGGGGCTTTGCTTTGCAGTCATCAAATATTAGAGGCCAAAAAGCCATGTATATGAAGGTTTTCTGATGTCCCACAGCCCCTCCACGGCTCCCACTGGCTCATCCCCAGAAGCGGGCTGGGCCCCGCACATTGCTGCTTTCCTGGCTGCTCCTGGCTGGGCTCAAGCGTGGTAGGAAGCTTTCAGAAATGGCCAGCAGCTCTGGCTGTGTGTCCTGTCCCTCTCCAAGGAATGGTGGTGACCTCTGGTGAGTCACCAGCTCCCACCCTCTCCTACCCTTGACTCCTAACTCCTCTTCTTAAGCCCTAGACTGGGGGCACACTCAACCGCCTTGACCTTGGGCTGGGCTGTGGAACTCTCAGGCCTGCAAGGTACAGACGTACCCAGAGCAGCTAGGCTTTCCCGCCCCTCAGCCATCCTGGGGGAAGTGCAGAGCAGCAGGCACCCTGGCTGGCTCGCTGCCCCTCTGCAGCCAGCAGGCCTTTTCACACGAAAGGCCAGTTACTCAGCACACCTGCCTCACCCCACGCCCAGGCCCTTCAGCAAAAGAATAGGCTACCCCCTCTCCAAACGCTTGACACTTTGGCATATTGCGCCATATTACATTTGGAAACTTTATGGTGCTGCCAACAACAATTAGAGTAGGGAAGAAAACAACACCTGCCTGGCCTCTGTGCCATCTTTGTTGCTTGGGAATATAGCACTGAGCGTGCCCCGTACTTTTTGTATGTTTGTGTTTATAGGAGGGTGTGATAGACAAGCCACTGGAGCATTCCAGAGCTGTATTAAGTATACCCCTGGCGTGCACCAGTGTCTGCAACTCACCTTGTAATGCATCTTTAAAAATACGCTTGGTGGATGGGCAGACAGGTGGACAGATACGCAGCGAAGCAGTATGTCACATGTGAAGGGAAGGTCTAGGTGGGGAGGAGATGTATGTGCCCTGCACAATCCTTTCAATTTTGCTGCGGGTTTGGAAGCTTTCCTAATAAAATGTTGGAGGGGAAATGATTCCCTGACAGTGAGCTCTTTTCATTGAAACCAGGCTCTTGGCCAATGTGGTCCCTGAGACCAGAGAGTGAGGGAGGTGTGTGGATTGGATCCATTTCACCTGTGAAGACTCCCCGTGAGGAGTTCCTGCTGCCAAGGCGCAGAAGTGGTGCTGGTCCCAGACAGGTAGAGAGGAGGGGCAGGGCTACCCTCTCCCTCCCGGGGATGAGCTGGTGCTGCCCATTCCCCCAGCCTCCGCTGTGGAACCCTTGAGCAGTGGGACACCGCCCCTTCCAGTGGCTTATCCCTCATATTCCCACATCTACACAGTTAAGACTGCATTCCACAGCCGCTTCCAGGTCCGAGTCTGGCTTTCCTCACCTCTCCTGGAGGGCTTGCCATCTGCCTCAGCGCTGCCTGTGACATGGGAGGGCACCCGCTCAGCACACATTTGCTGTGGCTCTCAGCCCCCTGGGTAAGCGAGAGGCTGTCTGAGCACAGGAGGGTTGGGAAGCTTGGCTGTCCAGATGGTCGCCCTGCCGCCTACAGGTTGTGGACACCAGAGAGTGGTCAGAACCAGGGAAAGCAAGGACAGGAAGTTAAGCGGCAGATGAAGAGGCTTTCTGGAGTTGAGTCCTGACCTACATTATTTTGTGGGTCACATATGGTGGTGGTTCCAGGGAAGGTGCTGGGATCCAGTTAACAAGCAGGGTAACTGACTCAGATATGGTAGTAAAATGCGAGGACTCCCCACCCCGCCTCTCCAGGCACCCAGTAGTTTATGGGTGGTGCTCAGCAAATGAAACTCTTAGTTGTACCAATATCAGCCTTCACATAATGGCATTAGGGAAAAAAAATAATACAAAGTTGATTTTTTTAAAAGTGCCAATTGCAGCACTGTGTTCTGCCTCTGACTGTAGAAAATGGAGAATACACTGTCAGGCCTTTGGTCCCTTGGAAGATGGCACTATCTAGTCTTCACAGTCCGGCATGCTCACACTCCACCACACACACACTTCAACACACCCTCACACACACTCACACTCCAACACCATACACACTCAGACTCTCACACTGAAAGACTCACACACACACCCTCACACACTTGCACTCCAACACACACTCAGACTCTCACACTGAAATACACACACCCCACACACACTTGCACTCCAACACACTCAGACTCTCACACTGAAATAGACACACACACACCCTCACACACACTTGCACTCCAACACACACTCAGACTCTTACACTGAAAGACACACACACCCCCTCACACACTTGCACTCCAACACACACTCAGACTCTCACACTGAAATAGATTCACACACACCCCATCACACACACTTGCACTCCAACACACTCAGACTCTCACATTGAAATAGACACACACACACCCTCACACACACTTGCACTCCAACACACACTCATGCAGCCTCAAACTCACATTTCACACACACATTCATGCACACTTGCACCCAAACACATACAAATACTTAACACTTGCACTCACACACTCATACCCACACTCAGACACACGAGTGTGACACACGCACATATTCTGCTGAGCCGAGTGATACTCCTGCCCCTCACACCTTTGGGACAGTGCCTGCCTCTCCACCCTTGCAGACTATGGAGAGGACTCCCTGCAAGGAAGGACCGGGACATCCCCCCGCAGGTTCTCATCCTCAGTGTGCTCATAGGAGGAAGTGGACCCTGGGATTTAGATCATGGGCTCTGGAGTCAGTCTCTGGGTTCGAGTCCTGGCTCTGCTGCCACTAGCTGTGTGACTGTCAACCACTGCTTCATCTTTCTGGGTCTTAGTTTCACCCCTCATATAACAAGGACAATGATGCCTGCCCCATAAGTCGCTGTGCAGATTCATCTCGTTGCTACGTGTAAGGTGCTCATATAGGAAGCTCTGGTGAGTGTGAGCTGCTGCTGCTGCTGCTGCTGCTCTTCTCAGCATCTGGTCCTAAATCATTCATCTCTGGGCTTCAGGTCCCTGAGCAGGAATTCAGCTTCTAACCAGGACTCAGGGAGAACAACTGTGTTTTCTGCTGTGGCTGTAACAGATGACTGTAGATTTAGTGACAAAGCAACACAGATTTATTCTCTTACTGTTCTCAAGGTCAGAAGCCTGAAATAACTTTCACTGGGCTAACGTGGAGGTGTCAGCAGGGCTGCACTCCCTCTGACGCTCCCAGGGAACATCCGCTTCTTGGCCTTTCCAGCCTCCAGAGCTGCATTCCTTGAGTTCCTTGGCTCTTGGCATCTTCCCCATCTTCAGGCCAGCAGCCAGCATCATGCTTCTGTAGTCCCATCGCCACCTTCCTCTGTAGTCCAGTCTCCTTTGGTCTCCCTCCCTCCCTCTCAGAAGAACCTTGGTGATTACATTTAGAGCCCACAGAGACAATCCAGGAGACTCCCGTATCTCAGAACTCTTAATCTCATCTCTGAAAGCTCTTTTGCACTGTAAGGTAACATTGACATTCTGGGGATTGGAGTGGGAACATAGTTGGGGGCCATTATTCACACAGCTGAGGCAGGAGGAAGCTCCCTTGGGTCCTGGCCCTGTGGCCCAACTTGGCCAAGTTCTGGACCAACCTGTAGCACCAGTCTAGACTCAGCCTGGCTACACCAGCTGCCAAGGTCCTCCACTCTCCCTTCATGCCAGTTCTAGGCCCTCTATCTCCCCAAATAGGCTCTGAGGGCAGAGTTGGTGTTCCATCCTCTGCTGAATCCCAGTTCTGACAGGTGGGGCGCCAGATGGTTATGTGCTCGTGTGTAAAGGTGAGCAGGCGCTGATGTGCCACATGTATCCTTTTAGGCCATGGTGAGTGTCACTGCGGGGAATGCAAGTGCCACGCAGGTTACATCGGGGACAACTGTAACTGCTCGACAGACATCAGCACATGCCAGGGCAAAGATGGCCAGATCTGCAGCGACCGCGGGCACTGTCTCTGTGGGCAGTGCCAGTGCACGGAGCCGGGGGCCTTCGGGGAGATGTGTGAGAAGTGCCCCACCTGCCCGGATGCGTGCAGCACCAAGAGGTACTGGTTCCACCAACAGCCTCAGCTTACTTCTCCTCCAGGCCAGGCCTGTGGTCCAGCCGGGCAGTCCTCAGGGCCAGCCAGCCTCCACTCCCCACCTCCGGAATCTCCCACCCAGCCAGCCTCGCTGAGAGCAACACTCTTACTAACAGTAACTGAAACTGTGGCTTTCAAATGCTGGTTCCATAAGGGTTTTGTAAGAAAACAGAACAAGAAATACAAAACTGCTACTCTGTTCCTAAACATCTTTAGAAATTAGAAGATCAGAGTTAAATGAAATTAAGCTGGTGTTGGCACCAAAAATAGCACCTTCTCAGAGCCTTGAGTGCACGATTATGTGCTTTCACAAGAGAATACTTTCACAAGTGCGCATCTTTTTTCAAATGAATTGAATCCCCCACACTGATAGCTCCCAAACAGTGTTTCACAGAACTCCTATGGGAAATGCTGACAAAATGTCATCAGAAAGTAAATTGGAGAGGGGCCGGGTGTGGTGGCTCACACCTGTGATCCCAGTACTGTGGGAGGCCGAGGCGGGTGGATCACTTAAGGTCAGGAGTTTGAGACCAGCCTGGCCAACATGGTGAAACCCCTTCTCTACTAAAATTACAAAAATTAGCTGGGTATGGTGGCACATGCCTGTAATCCCAGCTGCTCTGGAGGCTAAGGTAGGCGAATGGCTTGAACCCAGAAGGCAGAGATTGCAAGATGGTGCCACTGCACTCCAGCCTGGGTAACAGAGTGAGACTCCATCTCAAAAAATAAATAAATAAGAAGAAGAAGATAATTGGAGAGAAAGGCACCCGACCTAGATAAGGCATACCGGAAACCACTGCAATGGCTTTTAAATTTTCTGCTCCATTTATATAGATAATAGAACGTGGGCTCTGTGCTGCTACTGAATGCAGAGATTGTCTAGACCCGGGCCCCCACCTTCACTGACTCAGCCACGGCCTCCCATAGCTGTACTGACCTCCTCCTGGTCAGCCCTGCACGCTCCACCAGAGTGCAAATGAGAGGGAATTACAGAATGATGCCCCTGGAAAGCAGAAGTGACATTTGCTCTTGGAGTTTGCTGGAGAAACAGCTGTGTCATCATTATCCATGCTAAGGAGGCAGGGACACAGAGGATCAGAAACAAATCATAATACAAACGTCGCTTCTCTTTGGCTGAGGAACGCATCTGTGATTTTCTCTTGGCAGATTTCCCTTCTAAATGTCTGGCTCGGGCTGATAATGAAATGAGTTCATGCTCTCTGTGCCTGCTGGTCAGTGGCTGCTGGTCAGTCTGTACTCAGAAACGTTCTGGGTGGTAGAACCCCTGGTTGGACATTTGCCATAAATAACCCAGGCATGGGTAATTGAAAGCTGGCTGCAGATGGAGAGACAAGATACACAGGGCTGAGTTTTCATGTGTTCAATTGGAGGGGATAGGGGAGCGTAAGGAAGAAAAAAAATGTCTGCTTCAGACGTGCTAAGAGCAGAGACAAAACAGATCCAAGTAGAAACAGCCCGGAGAGGGTTAGGACCCTGGATCTAGAGCCCGGATAGCTGTGGCTCTCCCAGCACGGAGTCAGCCATTGGCCATGTTTTGTGCCTGAGGGAGGTGCCCCACCTCCAGCAACCAGCAGCACAACCTTTTTGAGTCTCTGCTCCCAGTCCTTGGGGCACACTAGGTTAATGGGGAGTGGGGGCCAAGCTAGGACAACCCATTAAACGAGCCTTGCCTTCCTATAGCAGGCAGTGGAGGATTGGCTTTAGATCAGCTGAAAGGCCCAGGAGGAAACAGCTCTAGCTTTAAGTGTTTAAAGCATTTATTTCCTAGAAGACATAGACTTAATAATGTATTATTTATTACACAATGTCAAGGGAGCAAGGAGAGCAAAGAGATGCCATAACGGAATGTCACAATTCCTTCTTTTTATCTTTTTTTTTTTTTTTTTTTTTTGAGACAGGGTCTCACCCAGGCTGGAATGCAGTGGCACCATCACAGCTCACTGCAGCCTTGAACTCCTGGGCTCAAGCAATCCTCCTGCCTTAGCCTCCTGGGTAGCTAGGACTATAGGCTGGCACCACCACACCTGGCCAATTTTTATTTTTTGTAGAGATGGGGTCTTGCTATGTTGACCAGGCTGGTCTCAAACTTCTGAACTCAAGCGATCCTCCCACCTCAGCCTCTCAAAGTGTTGGGATTACAGGCGTGAGCCATTGCACCCAACCTACTATTCCTTCTTATTTGTCTCTGGGCCACACTGACCCTCTGTCTCTTTCACGGCCTACTTGAAACTTTTTTTTTTTGAGACGGAGTTTCGCTCTTGTTACCCAGGCTGGAGTGCCATGGCACGATCTCGGCTCACTGCAACCTCCACCTCCTGGGTTCAGGCAATTCTCCTGCCTCAGCCTCCTGAGTAGCTGGGATTACAGGCATGCGCCACCATGCCCAGCTAATTTTTTGTAGTTTTAGTAGAGACGGGGTTTCACCGTGTTGACCAGGATGGTCTCAATCTCTTGACCTCGTGATCCACCCGCCTCGGCCTCCCAAAGTGCTGGGATTACAGGCGTGAGCCACCGCGCCCAGCCAACTTTTTTTTTTTTTAAACAAAGTCCTTTTTATGGTGACTTACATCCGTCTGTTTTTTCTACTGCTGCTTGTGAAGAGCCACCAGGTTTTGAATGTCCTACGTCCTTTTTTTCTGGAGGTTTCAGGGCAGCCAGTCTTCATTTTCTGGATCTAACAAACCACACTCTTCACTTTGGGTGAGTTCACATTCAACCCCAGCTGATTTCAATTAACCTGCTCTCGCAGCAGTCTCTCTAAACAACTTAATTTTTTTAAAGAGCAGGCTTATTTTAGTACATGACTGCAATATATTACAAGTTTCGACCAGCACATGGGACATCCAAGTTAGACTGATATGTTCACATGGATACTTAAGGAGTGTTTCCTGGAAGCAGCCTGGAGCTGTGGTTTAACAAGAGAATCAGGTGGCGGGAACAGAGAATCCAAGCTGGGAGCGGAAGCAGCCCTCTTAGCCTTGTGCTAATCTGGGAGGCTGGTGGGGGTTGGGGGTGCAGCTGGGTCAGCATAAATGACTGAAGCTGGAGCCACCCCTTCCTGGCCCCCAGCCAGGTCTCAGCTGCCCGCCCTCCGGGGCTGTCACTGTCGGGAGAGTTAGTTACCATCTTGTTTCTAACTTCAGAATGTTTCCATAAAATTAGTCCCAGGAGAGGGAGATTTCATAGACAAGTCAGGGATCGTTGAGCTCTTAAGCATATCAGAACCTCTTAGGAGGCCTAGTGTGAGAGGTGGGCACCTGGCTGCAGACCCTCAAGTCCTCCTCCATAAAACAAAGGAGATTTCATGAAATGGTCTCACAGCTTTCATCCAGCTCTGCTCTTCTACCTCACAGTTTCTGCACTGGAAACAGTAGCTGGCCGCTGAATCCCACGGAGTTAAGAAATAGGTGACGATAAAGGCACCACATTGCAGTTGCACATCCCTCTATATTTTTGCCAGAGACCTTTCCAAACACACAGCCCCTTTGGTACCCACAGGCCTGTGGAAACAGAGCAGCTGTCCCTCGTGTAGCCGAGATTCTGAGGTCACCCCCTGTACTCTGGTGGCCTCCCCAGCACACCTGGCTCTTGAGTCCTGACCCAGTTTTCTAGGGGCCTCTCCTGGGGTCTCACTCTCCTCGAAGGCCATCAGTCAAAGTCCCTAAGAGCGACATGCCCACTCCTCCCCGGAGCTTCGTGCTCACCATCCTATAGCCCCATACCCAGCCACCAGAGGAGCCAGGGACCTCTCCCCTTGCACCTCAGCTTTACAGCCCCTTAGCCACAGCTTAGCTCCCCATCCTGTGGCCTCAGGAATCCAGTTCTCCGGGATGTCTCCTGTGACAGAGGGAAAATGTCTGGAACTTGGTTTTGATGATATACGTATAATAATGACCACTTACTTGAATGTGGTAGTTAAGCATTTTCGCCCGCTATCTGATTGAAACCATCAGGCTGAGGTAGGAGGAGAGGGGCTCAAGGTGTCACTTTTTGGCTGTCACCCATTTTCTAGAGGAGGCCCTGTGAAAGAACGAGGGTTCCCTGGGAGGAAGTCAGCAGCTTAGAGCCTATGCCAGAGCCTAGTGTAAACTGATTCACAGGTATGTGGGCAGCAGAGCCCCAGGGGACCTGGCAGGTGGGCTCTGTCTGAGGGGGAGAAGGGGGCTGGAACTCGAGACTCTCCGGGACAGTGGTTCTCGGATGCATCAGAATTGCCCAGGAAGCCCGGCCCTGGAGGTGTGGTTGGCCCAGGCACTGGGAATTTCTCTTGATAGCTCCCTGGAGAGTTGAACGTGCAGGAGGGTTGAGATACCTGCCCTGGGTGATGACCAGGGCAGGATCTGCGGAACTGGGACAATGTGGGGCATCAAGCTCTGGCCAAGGGAGTGTGAGGACCTCGGGGAGGCCAGGAATACTGTTTATCACCCAGAAACCTCTGGCTTGGAGCAGACTCCTCACCAGGCATTCGATGGACCCGAGTGCAGATGGATTGGCTCCTGGTGTCAGAATTTGAAAGGTCTGCAACTTGACACGTAGACAAGACATGCCACTAAACTCACACGTGTTCCTCCAAGAACTCTTGGGCTTCCCCACATAACAAGAAAGGCAGAACCATTCCCTGAGGCTCAACATCTGTAGCTGGAAAGAAGTTAAAGCCTTCCCAGGTCCTGCACTGTCAGGTGGCTAGGGACAGGTGTGGGGCTGTTCTACATTATCTGACACCCACTTTTATTTCCTCATTTCCAAAGAGATTGTGTCGAGTGCCTGCTGCTCCACTCCGGAAAACCCGACAACCAGACCTGCCACAGCCTGTGCAGGGACGAGGTGATCACGTGGGTGGACACCATCGGTGAGTGTGCCGCCGCCACCCGGGCAGCCGTGGTTTCTCTCCTCCCTGAGGAGGAGGAGGGTGGTTTTAGCCTTGAGTCAGGAGGCGCCGCCCAGGCTTCCTGGGCGTAACAGTGGGCTCCCCATGAGGACCCAGTGCTGGAACCTTCATCCACACCTGATGGGGATGTAGAATGGTACAGACTTTGGAAAGCAGTTTGGCAGTTTCCTTAAAAAGTCAAACACAGAATCACCGTACAGTGGTACCAGTTCCATTCCCAGGTATACAGCCTACAGAATTAGGTCCATATGTCCACATAAAAACGTGTCAGAAATGTTCGCAGCAGCATTATTCACAATAGCCAAGAGGTAGAAACCAACCAGATGTCCATCAGTTGATGAATGGAAAAGAACACAGGGTGCACTCTGTCTATACGGTGGCCACCACTGACCACGAAGGGGTGTGAAGTGCTGATACGTGCCACGGCACCGTGAGGCCTGACAACAGTGCGGAGGGAAAGAAGCCACGTATTCTATGGTTCTGTTCATATGAAATGTCCAGCACAGGGAAAGCCATGGAGACAGAAGGTAGGTTAGTGGTGGCCTGGTGCTAGAGGGAAGGGAAAATGGGGATTGACTGCTAAGAGGTGTGGGTTTCTTTCTAGAGTGATGGAAATATTCCAGAATTAGTGGGAATGGTTACACAACATTGTGAGTTCAGTAAAATGACTGATTGTACACTTTAAAGTGGTTTAAATGGTGGGGGGAAATTATGCCCCTTGAAAGCAAATCTGCATCTGAAGCTCCCCTCATGGGCACTCTTCCCCCTATCTTCATCTCTGGCTTCTGCAGACTCCTGGCTCCCAGCTGCCTGTCTGTCTTGGTCCTAACTTATGTCTTTCGTAGACTTCCTTGTTCCCACATCCCTGGTTTTGACTGACTACAGTCATGGCTTCTGAGGGATTTTTTGTCTTTGAGACAGGGTCTCTATCACCCAGGCTGGAGTGCAGTGGCACCATCAGAGCTCACTGAAGTCTCAACCTCCTGGGCTCAAGCAAACCTCTTGCCTCAGCCTCCCAAGTAGCTGGGACCACAGGCAAGTGCCACCATGCCCGGTTAATTTTCGTGTTTTTTAATAGAGATGGGGTTTCACCATGTTGCCCAGGCTGGTCTCAAACTCCCAGGGTTAAGCAATCCACCTGCCTCGGCCTCCTAAAATGCTGGCATTCAGGTGTAAGCTATCATGCCCGGCTGCTTCTCAGTATCTGAGCTATGTATACATCCAACACATATTCACTGAGCGCCTACTGTGTGCCGGGTGTTGTCTGTCTCCTTAGGAGACTGTGGGAAGTGGACCAGTCTGGTTCCTCACATGCCTGTCTTCCTGCCCCAGCTTCTGTCTTGCAGCTCAGGGCCTGGCCAACCTCAGGTTCTGCCTGCAGACCTGGGCTGGTTGCCCCTAACTAGGCACACATGGTCAGAGAAGGAAAGGGTGTCTTCCTGTGGCCCAAGGACTGGTTTGCCTGGTTCACAGCAGTTACAGCCAGTCATGCACACCTGCTTCCCAACCCAGCCCTCTGAGACAGAGCAGCAGAGAAAATTTATGTTCCAATCTACCATTTACCCTTTATCTTCCTTCTTCCAGGTTTTTTTTGATACACACACACTCACATGCTCACTCATACTCACCCAGCCCAGAAGAGAGCTGAGATGGGAAGTTCAGGCTTTCATATCCGATAACCACACTAATCCACCTGTTTCCAGGTTACAGCTCCTTCAAGCAGCAAGGTTAGAAAGGTTAAAAAGGCAAGACCTGGAAAGCATTTCCCGCCCCAGTGTTCGCCTTCCATTGCTCCCCAGGTTGCATCGCTGCCACATTTCCTCACCCCTTGCCTCTCTTTGCACTTCCCCTAGTTCCTTTCTGTCCTAAAAAACAACCTAACTCTCTCCCGGAGACCCTTAGAATGTAGATAATCCTGGACAGGGGAAGGTGGGGAACAGTAGCCAAGGGGCGGGGAGCTGCTGAAGCAGCTCGAGGAGGGGGTTTCTTAATACAGAGAAGGGAGGCTGGGCAACATCTGGGGCTGACCTCCACGCTGGCTCGCTTTGTCTACAGGCGTGGGCACCAGCCTCTCACCTGCTGTCCTCATCGCCCTGTGGTTCTTTTTGATTTTGCATCCCAGGAAGGAGTTGCTGCTTCTTGGCCTCTGCAGCCAGCTCTCAGCCTCAAATGGCCTGGCCTGTTTCCCAAATGTGATACCTCACTCAAGCCTCACAGGGGGCTGGGATGGCTTTCTTTCTCTCTTTCTTTCTTTATCCCTTTAATTTCCGTGGCCAATCCATTCACCCAACCCCACCCCAAAACTATTAAAACCTTCTGTTATTTCACATCACCCCTGAAAAACACTTCAGAGGCTTGGAGATCCTCTAATATGTTCCACGTGGCCCCAAAGCCATCTAAATTCAGCCCTGGGCCTGCGTTCTTGGTGTGAGAAACCTGAACTCATCTTCAAAGGCCAGCCTCCCCTTAAGGCTTTCTGCCCACACCCCCACACCCCTTTCTTCTTTGAGGTGCTCGGCTCCCTGCCCTGACTGTCAGCGGCTCTGGGCTGCTCAGAGAGACTCAGGCCATTTCCCTCTTGGTTTTCTTCCAGTGAAAGATGACCAGGAGGCTGTGCTTTGTTTCTACAAAACCCCCAAGGACTGCGTCATGATGTTCACCTACGCGGAGCTCCCCAGTGGGAAGTCCAGCCTGACAGTTCTCAGGGAGCCAGGTGGGTGAGGGCTGCGAGGGGCTTGGGTCACTTCACCAGCTCTCAGTTCTGATTTCTGATGCCATTCCCTGATCTGGGGCCCCTGCCCATTCTCTCCTCACCGGTCTTTCCAAATTCCAGGGAGAGGAGGGATACAATTTCTTATTTTTCTTTTCTTTCTTTCTTTTTTTTTTTTTTTGAGACAGGTTGTCACTCTATCACCCAAGCTAAAGTGCAGTGGTGCCAACACAGCTCACTGCAGCCTCAGCCTCCTTGGGTTCAGGTGATCCTCCCACCTCAGCCTCCCAAACAGCTGGGACTGCAGGCATGTACCAACACACCGGGCTAATTTTTGTATTTTTTGGTAGAGACAGGTTTTCGCCATGTTGCCCAGGCTGGTCTTGAACCGCTGGGCTCAAGCGATCCACCTGCTTTGGCCTCCCAAAGTGCTAGGATTACAGGTTTGAGCCACTGCTCCTAACCAATACAATTTCTCATGAAGACTAGATCTAAGGTCACTGCTACTCCACTCCTAGAGTTTAAAAGAAAGATGAATGTGCAGCTGGGGGCCCATTTTGGGGCAAATCTCTAGGGGGGCATGAGTCAGGGCAGTGGGAGTTATGGAAGGATAGGGCCCTGTCCCTGGGGAGAGTCTCCTCTTGGAGGAGTACAGAGGTAAAAGCAACCACAGAACAAACCTACCCTGCACAGCCAAAGGCAGCAAGGAGCTGCCGTGTTCTGCAGGGAGGGTGCAGGACGTCTGGACCACCAGGGCTGGGCAGGGCATCACTCGGGCCATGGAGCATCCAGCTCCACACACAGTCCAGGCCGGGCCACCGCTGCTTCTCAGTGGGGATGCCAAGGACAGTGGAGCGGTCGGTTCCACATTCCTGCTGCTGCCATGCTCAGCTCCCAGAACCACTGCAGAGGTCAAGCTTTAATCTGGATACCACTATTCTGCCTCTGCTTGGACCCAGCGACCAGCAGCCTTTGCCTTGGAGTCATTGGAATTTCTAATATCACCCCTTACATTCTTCTTGGGGGTGAGGAGGCAGGGGTGGAGCAGAAAAAGATTTCCTCTCTTCACTTCACAGTGCTGCAAACTATTTTTCCAAATTGGGCCCAACCACATAATGTGCCTTCCTGAGGCCAGTGGCAGAAGTGTGGTACCAGCCTAGGATGCACGCCTGTAAGAATAAGGCTTTGTGTCCAACGCTGTCTCTGCGGTTCTTTGAAAATAAGCACATTTGCTCCAACGGACTCCACACTAAAGGCTTACAGATGTTGGCCCCCAGCCCAGACCTTGTGCAAGTGGCTTCATGGTACCTCCTGCCTGCGCAGTCTGCTCCTAGAACCATGTACGTGAAACCAGTGTCCAGCATCCCACACTGGAGACTGGCCCAGGCAGGGAGTGGGCACTGCCCATGAGGGGAAAGGCAGCCGTGCCCCTGGGCTCTCATCTAGACTTCACCACACTTGCTTTGTGACTTTGGAACAGTCACTGTCCCTTTTGACTCTTTCATTTTCTGTACATTGGGGGAAACTTCCTGCCCATGTCTCCCAGAAGTAATGTGAGGATCTAAGGGAGAGCCGAGGGGAAGGCCTTTGAGAGGGGCACAACTTTCATTTCCGAAATGCCTGCTGCTGGGGGGTGGGAGGGGCATGGGGATGCTGGTGGCTTTGCTTACCATGCTTCCGGTCCCCCTAGAGTGTGGAAACACCCCCAACGCCATGACCATCCTCCTGGCTGTGGTCGGCAGCATCCTCCTCGTTGGGCTTGCACTCCTGGCTATCTGGAAGCTGCTCGTCACCATCCACGACAGGAGGGAGTTTGCAAAGTTCCAGAGCGAGCGATCCAGGGCCCGCTACGAAATGGTAAGCCTGTGGAAAATGGGAAGCAGAGGGGACTTCAAGCTTAGAGCCATGGCTGAATTCAGTGCTATGTTAGCCATAGAGGTTCACTAACATCTTTGACATTAAAAACAAAAAATCAATACCAGAAAGGCTGTGCCCAGCTCTGGACAGAGAGAACTGCACAGCCCTGGTGCAGAGGGACCCGCACACATCCCTGTGCTAGACCCAGGTCAGGAAGGTCATGGGGGCAGAGGCGCTGGGCACGCCTTGGCAGGAGGAGTCTGACCAGTCTCAGAGACACCACAGACCCACAGGAAAGGAGCTCAGATTCTTGTGGTCCATTACAGTACACACACCTGCAGTCTGGTCACCCCAGACTGACTGCAAACGCCCAAAGGACTGAGCACAGAGTCAGTGCCTTTTGAACTCGGGCTTGGTTTCTGTTAAGGCTGCAAAAGACTTCAGAGACCTTCTGACTCAACTCGTCCTTCCAGAGGTGGAGAGTGGAAGCTTAGAGAAGGCGAGGTCTTTCCTGGGGGACAGGGAGCTATCCTGGAGCCCACAGCTGTCTCCTCCCACCTGAGTGCTTTGCCTGCTGCTGTCACGGGGCGTTGACCTGGGAGGGGTTTCTAGGGCCTGCGTCTGTCGGTTTGCGTGTGTGAGCTAACTTGTATCCTCATCCTCTTCCCTGCCGTGTTCTGTAGGCTTCAAATCCACTGTACAGAAAGCCCATCTCCACGCACACTGTGGACTTCACCTTCAACAAGTTCAACAAATCCTACAATGGCACTGTGGACTGATGTTTCCTTCTCCAAGAGGCTGGAGGGAGGAACTAATGAAAAAGTCAGACTGAAACGCCTTGCATGGCTGCTCGACTTGATCACAGCTCCCTAGGTAGGCACCACAGAGAAGACCTTCTAGTGAGCCTGGGCCAGGAGCCCCCATTGCCTGCACAGGAAGGTGCCTGGCCGTGTCACCTGGCTCCTAGACCAGAGCCACGCCAGGCTGCAACCCTCCGAGCTTAGGATAAAGCAAGGGGACCTTGGCGCTCTCAGCTTTCCCTGCCACATCCAGCTTGTTGTCCCAATGAAATACTGAGATGCTGGGCTGCCTCTCCCTTCCAGGAGTGCCGGGCCCCCAGCCTGGCCAGACAAGAAGACTGTCAGGAAGGGTCAGAGTGTGTAAAACCAGCATACAGTTTGGCTTTTTTCACACTGATCATTTTTTTATGAAATAAAAAGATCCTGCATTTATGGTGTAGTTCTGAGTCCTGAGACTTTTCTGCCTGTTGGCTATGGCTTGCACCCAGGTGTTGGTGATGGGGCTGTTGAGATGCCTGTTGAAGGTACGTCATTTGCAAATGTCAGTTTCCTCTCCTGTCTGTTTAGTGCTTTTGTAATGAAAAGAAACAAGATTGTTGGCGATTGAAAGTAAAGATTAAAACCAAAAGAATTTGTGTTTGCCTGATACTCTCTGTGTATTTGTTTCTTTCTAAGCAGACTTAAAATGGTGCCCCCAGTGGGGATTGAAGTGGCATGTACTTCCTCAGGGATGGGACACAGGCTGGTCCGATACTCCAGACTGGGTCTCATCAAGTAAGCACGAGGTGCTCAAGGCAGTCAGAGCTGTGCAGAGGATCCCGGAGCAGGTGCCTTTGGCCCCTCCCGGCTTTCACTGACAGAGAGTTCCAGGCTAGACACCATGAAAACCACCCCCTGGTCTCCCTCCCTTGTTCTGAGGGGCTGAGGCTGGAAATACGTTGTGCAGACAGGAAGGATTGAGTGGCAGTTCCCACACAAAGTCATCTCTTAAACATCATTAGCAGTAGCAGTTCCCTTCCAGGGCCTCCCTCACTCCCAAAACACCTATGTCTTACACAGGCCCAAAAAAACACGTTTGAGCTTTTTTTCCTGCAAAGCCATGAAGTCCCCTCAGGTTCCTTTATCTGACATGGTTGTCTGATCCTCTCCCCTTATGTACAGAAGAGGAAAATGATTCTCAGAGAGAGGAAGTGGCTTGGCCAGGTGTTAGGAGGTTATGAATGACAAACTGGTCCAAAGACCCCATCTCATGCTGGCCAGAGGGCTAGCCTCCTTATTCCTGCTTGTGCTCAGAAAAGCTTTCACTGATCATTTTTTGCCACTGGAATCACTTCAAGGTTATTATGTTTTCAATCCAAATGGATCTGTCCTCAGCCCTGGACCAAGTTTCCCTTACTTCATGTTGGCAAACACTAAGTCAAATAGTCAAATGCCTGTCACTAAATAGAGCCTATTCCCTGGGGCAAATACGAACAGACTTGAGTCTCCTTCATCTTGTGTAAATAGGATGAAATAGAGACCTGGTAACTTGGTGACACTGCCTTAAACCCTTTTTGGGATAAAGCCAAATGTAAATGAAAACATTAAACAGATCAATTAAATTTTAGCCTTGAGACTTTCTGAATTGAGAAAAATAAATGTAATTTTGAAGAAACTTTGGGTTTCTCTCCTAATTAATTGTTGGTTTCCTGGAGACAAATCATTGACGGGCTCAGAACCTCATTTTCTATAAGCGCATGCCATTCTGGTTTTTTTTTTTTTTTTTGGGACGGAGTTTCACTCTTGTTACCCAGGCTGGAGTGCAATGGCGCGATCTCGGCTCACCGCAGCCTCCGCCTCCTGGGTTCAGGCAATTCTCCTGCCTCAGCCTCCTGAGTAGCTGGGATTACAGGCATGCGCCACCATGCCCAGCTGATTTTTTGTATTTTTAGTAGAGACGGGGTTTCACCATGTTGACCAGGATGGTCTCGATCTCTTGATCTCGTGATCCACCCGCCTCGGCCTCCCAAAGTGCTGGGATTACAGGCGTGAGCCACCGTGCCCGGCTGATTTTTTAAGAGATGGTCTCACTGTGTCACCCAGGCTGGAGTGCAGTGGTGCAATCTCAGCTTTCTGCAGCCTCAACCTCCTGGTCCCCTGTGATCCTCCCAGCTCAGCCTCCTAAGTAGCTGGGACTACAGGTGTGTACCATCATACCCAGATAATAACTAAGTTAATTTTTAGTAGAGTCAAGGTCTCACTATGTTGTCCAGGCTGGTTGGTCTAGAACTCCCAAGCTCAAGCGATCCTCCCACCTTGGCCTCCCAAAGTGTTGGGATTACAGGCGTGAGCCACCGTGCGTTGCCTGGGCACAACATTCTTGAGCCACAGATAGCAAAGGAAGATTTGTTCTAGTTCCACCTGACCTGGCAGGTGGGGGTGTTTCGTCTTGACGCCACGGGAATATTATAGAACCAGTGCTCACGGTCCCTTGGTGCCCTCTGCTGGACGTTCTTGGGATCTGACTCCTGAGATTCCGTCCCAATGTATGATTTTTAAGGTTATCCAGCGAGCTGAAAGTGACCACAAAGACAATCTATTTCAAAAGCTTTATTTCACAACCCACCCTCAGATATGTAATTTTGTAATTGTAAGATATTTTTATTAAAATGGGCCTTCGGCCAGGCACGGTGTCTCACGCTTGTATTCTCAACACTTGGGGAGACCAAGTTGGGAGGATTGCCTGAACCCCGGAATTAGAGAGCAGCCTGGGCAACACGATGAGACCCTGTCTCTACAAAAAAAGAGAGAAGAAAGAAAGAAAAAGAAAAAGAAGGAGAAGAGAAGAGAGAAAAGGAAGGAAGACAGGAGGAGAAGGAAGGAAAGGAAAGGAAGGAAGGTAGGTCAGCGAATTCTGATTCAGTTTGGTTGACTAGTATTTTATTAAACTAAAGGAACCAATAGCTACCTCTTCCACGAAAGAAATGTGATTTTAAAATTAGGATCAAAGCTTGAGGTGATTATCATGAAACCCTTGGGATGAATTTCAGGTGAGAACAAACAGATGGGAGACTGGCTGGGAGGACAGAAGGCCCTTCTCTGCTGGAGTGTGCTGTTTAGCTCCTCCCCATCCCTGGAGGACATCCAACACCATGGTTCCTACTTGCTTCTGAGGACAGCCTTGTATACCCAGCTACTGTTATGGATTGGATTATGTCCCCCCCAAAAAAATGCATCTGTTGAAGCCCTAAACCCCCAATGTGATAGTATTTGGAGATGGAGCCTTTAAAGAATGAATTGCGATTAAATGAGGTAATAAAGCGGCACCTAACTCAATGCAGCTGGTGTCTTTGTAAGACCAGGAAGAGACCCCAGGGCTGCAGAGAGGAAGGGCTGTGTGAGGACACAGCGAGAAGGCAGCTGCCTGCAAGTCAACAGGGGATACTTTAGGGGAACCCATTTCTGCTGACACCTTAGTCTTGAACTGCCACAGCCTCCAAAACTAGGAGAAAGTAAGTTTCAGTTGTTGAAACCACCCAGTCTGTGGTATTTTGTTACGGCAGCCTCAGCAGATTAACACAGCTAGTAACAAGCTGGCAGAGGGGGCTGAGAGAAGAGGAAAAAGACACAAAGGCCGACAGCGACAGGCGCTGGGATGAGTCTCCGGAAGAGGTAAGTGTTACGCCTCTGGGGTGTGAGGTGCCTGAGGAAGCTGGGGTTTGTCCAGTGGGCACTGGAAATGCAGACAGGGCGTGTGAACGTGCTTGGAGCTGGGTGACTGCCTGCATGGAGGCTGTGAGCACTCGAGACAGCTGTGGCCTTCCTCCTGGCTCCAACTCTGTGTCGGGGCTCCTCTGGAGATCCCCCAACTGAGGAGCCATAGTTGGGTCTCTCCCACCTGACACCCAGCCCCAGTCCTGGAGCTACAGGGCTCCAGACATCACGGTCAGGACCTAGCTCCTATACAGGCCTTCAGACCCTCCGGGGTGCAGAGATGGAGCTGGAGGGAAAACAGGAGAGACAGCTGAGCAGCGCTCCTGCTGATGAGAAGGCTGTGCCTGAGAAACAGTTCTTAGCCCCCAGAGGCCCTGCCTGCTCAGTCTCTGCTTTGGGAGGGACCCACGGGTAGCAGGGAAGGACAGTCGTTGCCTGGCCAGCCTCATCTGACAGAGCCACCTCCGAGATGGGTTGGATGATGTGTCAGTAAGAAGGCCTTCATATCCAATTTCTTTCTCTTGGATGTTAGTGTCAGGAATCTCTCCCTATGACTGATGCTTCATTCTGTCACACAATGGGGCCTGTACAAACGGTTTGGTATCTTGATGGTTAGGAAGTTGGGAACTGAATGCATTTAGTGGACCAGACTGTTCATAACACAGGGACAAGAGAGAAAGAGCCTCAGGTTCTTGGTTCCACCCTTTTTCCACCACCTCCTCCATTAACGCCCCTGTCCTCTTCCTGCATCCCCCTCCACACATCTCCTGATCCTTCTGATTAGATGCCCAGCTGCATGATCATTTTAAGGTGCCAAATTCTTGGTGCAGAAAGGCAAGCTATAAGCTTTAAGGGGCAACCCAACAGGGGTATCCACCCCACTGACCTTCTAGGGTAGGAGTTCTTGACTCTTTTGGCTCATGGACTGCTTTGGCATTCTGGTGAATGCTACAGACACCCTTAACAGAACAATGCCTATAACCGTGTAATAAGGAAGATGCTAAAAAGTCCAAGTCTATTTCTCAGGGTTATCATCTCAGTTTGATTTCAAAAACGCCCTCCCTGCAAGACTCATCATTGAAAGCTTCAATGGTCCCACTCACATAGAATATCAGACCCCTGTGACTGAAAGCAAGCTTCTCATTTGATCCTCACAACTGCCCACAAATACCACATTCAGGGAAGATATTTCCGCATTTTACAAAAAGGGAGATTGAGTACAGTCACACCCTGGGTGAGGGTTGGTGAGACCCAAGCTCAAGGATCCCTTCTCTAGATTACTCTGCTCTCCACTTGATCATGGAAAAAGTCTGTCTCTTCTTATCCCAGAATTCTGCTGACTGGGGAGTCATCTGAGTCTCTGTCTTGGGGGCATACATCTCTACTGAAATAAAATCAAGTGCTCTAAGAGCAGACTAATATATTATAAAATGTCTCTCCTTCCTCCTTGAATATTTCTCTTTTGTCCTCATCACATGAGCAGTCTCTGGTATACACGTGGAGGTCAAGGCAACTCCATCTTGGAAGAGAATCTGCCATGTTGACTTCTGATTAACTCCTGTTCTGTAAAGGCCTCTAAGATTTCCAGTTTATCTATTGTTCCTTGTGTAAGAGTAGGTACTGACTAAACAGCCTTGATGTTATTGTATTTACCACAAGTTCTGCCCTTAAGCTGCTGTCCTACACCCCCATCTGAATCGCATCCATCCTTTTTCTCTGTGGTCTGTAGCCCTGGGTTTAGGGGGTAATGGCTCAGGGATCCAACAACTTGTCTCAATGCTGCCCAAGACACAGACATAGCTTCTGTTCCTAAGTCCCAATTAAATATTTATTTCTGAAAAGCTGGATCTGTCAGCCTCTTTCCCTGACCTCTCAGCTTCCTTGAACTTTGAGGGGTGAGTCTGCATAGGCCTGCCAGTGCAGAACAACACACGTTAACCAAAAATCCAGGAATT